CTTTTAAAGCAAAGCAAGTACCCTCATCCCTACCCATAGGGGGGACTTTTGTTTCTTCCATGTTGCGTTTTCGTATCAATGTCTGCATGCCTTTGACAATGTGAATATTACAGGTTCTTCGCATCTCATACCTTTTCTATTGGAATATTAGCTTTGCCACTGCGTGTGAGGCAAGTAGCTGCCCTCTTCACACATACATACATACATCCGTACATATAATATGCATGTATGTATGTCTGTTTCTCCGGTATTCCTTTTGACAGTTAAACCAGCAAGCACTGCAGATTTTAACTTTTAAACCAGGAATCCCCCTGCCCGCCCCATCTCAAAAGGCTGATATAGCTGTTCAAAAAGTCTGGCTTTTGAGCATGATTCGATCTTCATATATATTATAATCGTACCCTTCTTCTTTTTAGTCAAATTCTGATTTTGGTTCTCTGGAATGCTCAAAATTGGAATTTAGTCCCCACACTTCAATTCGTTCGAATTTGTTCCCTCTTATAATGTCATTAGTTAGTATAAAGGTGTGTCTAGCATTGCTCCTAAACTAAGTTTTTAAGCCAACCCAAAATAATAACCTAAACTTATTTTTTTATTCTATTTATCATCAATATTTAATTTATCTTTTACTTTTCAACATTGTATTTAAAATACATGTTTTATCTTTTCAAAAGCACGATTTACAATGTAATACTAAACTTCGAAGTCCAAACAAAATTTTTAAGAACATTTTTTTACGACAGTACTCCTCAAAAATAATATTGACTAAAAGCATCCATTCTAACACAATACCAGGGACGAAGTTATTGTCATATTTTCTATTATTAATTATATTTTATTTCTTTGAGCTAATATCTTGACTCCGTCTCACACGTATTTTTAGGTGTTGAATGGGTTTTTAAAGGAATTTAAGCTTAGTAGAGGGATCTCAAACCACAATTTGACCATTCCCCCCCCTCTAAAAACAGTTGTATTTGGTTGGGGTCAACATCCAATATTAACTACACTTTTCACTAGTGCAAATTGTGCTGTTAAAGCACATGCTTGCTTTCCTTTTCAAGTATTTTGCTTCATTCCCTTAAATTCTTTCAAGCATTCGATCTGCAGCCGCAATTCCATATGAGGGACCTACCCAGCATCTGCAAAAGAAATTTAGATTATTTAATTATGATGCCAATATCTCAAAGCAGGTCATTATATAAAATATGTTGAAAAAGTTAACCCTAAAAAGTAATGTTACTTACCTGCAAGTTTACTGCATGCACTCTATGTATTGGTGGTAGCTTGTGGAACTGCGGAAAAAAGATTAAACTAAAGGGCTGCACTGTGCGTTGATCAAGTTGTGTGAGTTGTCATTACTTAAATGAAACTATACATAAAGAAACAGAAATAACATCAGATCAGAGGTTTAGGGTTGGAGTTTTCATGTAAACGCCAATGCAAGTGATGTGCTGCACACTTAGCTTTATGCCCGTGCCTGCCTTGTTCAGCTTGCACAACTTTTAGCCTGGGGAAAGGATTGATTTTTGGAGTTAAAATTATAGTAGATGGGTATGAAAAAGTAACCTTTTAGTCACTAAAATATGTCACCTCATACTTTTTAAACGAAAATTTAGATCTCAATCCCATGAGTTTTAGTTTCCTAGTTTGGTTGGGAGATTAGTATGTTAATAGTTTAAACATCATACGGCATACCAATTTGAATCAAATTAAATCGATATTTTCATGCATTTCTAGTTATGATTGTCTTGGGGCAGTGGCGGATGCACTCATGACTGAGGGTGGGCACGTGCACACCTTGAGATCCGAATTTTCTCATATTAGTCCTTTATTTTATGATAATATCCACTCTGAAATTTTATTGTACCCACCTGAAATCTAAATTTTCTTCGATTAGTGACATATTTTATTAATAGTTTTCACTCTAAAATTTTATTTATACTCATTTTATTCAAAAAATTTATTCAAAAATGAATAATGTTAATATATATGTGCCTACACTTAAAAATATTTTTGAATCTCCACTATTGGGAGGGAATATTTGAGAAAAGTGTATGGATTTTTCACATATTTTAAGTGAAGTTTGAAGTGATATAGTCAGCCTAAAGAAAGCCAATATAAGATATTTATTTTTCAATTTATTTTTTAAGTTATCTACTAAATTATGTTGCAAATAATGCAGAATGGACCCCATGTACACAGAAGATGGCGGAAGGGAAACAATTTAGTGGACTTTAATTATTATTATTATTAAATTATTATTTGATGTTTTAATTTAATTATAAAAAAGGCAGGTATAAAAAAGCCTTATAGTATGCTTTGAACTTTTCTTTTTATATGTAAATATAATGTTATAAAATTCAAGCATTAATGAATTTGAAATGCTATGAGTTGGATTTGAATCAACCATGTTTGAATTATTAATCAATAGTTAAAAAAAATGTATGCATATGATATAATACTTTAAACCCGAAATTCAAAACTCGAAATTATATTTATATGTCGTAAGGGTTACCTTTGTCTCTGTATTAGACTTAATTTATCATTTTCGTCTCTATCATATTTTCGCATCAATTTAGCCCTAAAAGTTATTTGATTGTATCATTCTATACCCTTTCCCCAACTTAAAACCTTAAATAATAAGCCCTAAGTTAGTGTTTAGGATTTAGAGGTAATGGGATTATGGTTTAGGGTTTAAGGTTTATAATTTAGGGTTTTAAGTTATGGGTAGGGTATAGAAGGATGAATTAAGCAACTTTGTTGGTTAAATTGATGTGAAAATACAATAGGGGTGAAAGTGATAAATTGGGTCTGCTACAGGGACAAAAGTTACTCTTTTGCCTATTTATATTGAAATTATATTTATAAAAAAAAATTAAGAAACCGTAGGTATTCAATGAGCCAGCCCTCGCTTAAATTAGAAGAAAAAATGTTGCAATTTTGGTAACTTGGATAAGTTAGAGAACCATTATTATCAATGGGGCAGCCCTCACTTGAATTTCAATGTTCATCAAGAAGCTATTCAGCACAGTACTTTACACTTTTGGAACAGGAGAAAAACTCCTTATTTTCTCCAGTTTGGTAATGGGAGAAGCTCCCATAGCCACAATCCTACATAGTGGGACACTTTCATGCTTGATAGGGATTAAAACCTATTTTCAAGCTCGTATTTTCTTCCATATCGATCAGATTCCACAGAGAACTTTCAAGAAACAGACTTTCGATCGAGTTAAAAGACATAATTCCCTAAAACTAACATCGGTGTTAATGTCGTAGTTGCGTGAACTCAAACGACGATTCTCGACAAAATTACAAATATAGTAACTATAAGAAAGAGAAATGACCATGACAATATATGTATGTGTCAATGATCTGATAACATTATAGGCTGCCCATAAAGATACCCTTACTAAGTTCAATTGAGGGGACCCGCCCATGCAGTAATAGGAACCGTATAGGATGGAATATACGGCCTCAAACTCCAACTTTGAAGCTGTTTTAAGGGCACCATGGTGGCCTTGCATGCCCTGTCCCTCTCAATGACCTTCGTACCCCACACCCCAAGCTTATCATTAGCCTGCCCTTTGACCTCCAATGATTTCCTTGATGTATGTTTTATTAAATATAGTAAAAAAATAAAAATAATAATTTGACTTTTATTATCAACAATGGAGTACGGTCGGAGTTGATATCATCGATTCATAGTCGGTACCATGGTGTTATTGTTCCTCCTAAAATTTTTGGTATAATGATTTTTTAGGTCTTTTTTAGTTTAAATGTTAGTCAAATAAAGCCTTTGTCTCTCATAATTTTTATATTTAAATACTTAATAGATTTTTATTCTTTTGATACACGATAATTTTACTCCCCCTCATTATTTGATTCTAGTTTCGTCTCTAATCCATCACTCATCTTATCTCACTATAGATATATATTTTGAGTATTATTATCAACTCAATATATATTAGATATTTCCTCACTTTTATTTAATTTTTTATTAATGATTTATAATACTTTCAACTTTTAAGGATGAGAAAAAAAAATATATATCTATTAAATGATTCCCATTTTTCATCCTAAATATACATCTACCACTAGCATACATTTCAAAATTTTTGTATTGACCGAATATTCTCACTAATGAATGCCTCTTAAAAATGACAAGTTTGAACCAATTATTGATTGATTGAATAGGACAAGATATTAGATTTTGTGAAAAAGATTAGAGATTTAAATTTTGATGATGAAAATGAAGTAAAACGGATTATGAGGATTGCCTTGTAACACATCTCTACGATATTATTATTAGAAAGATTATTAAAACGATTAATAAATTAAATACTGATTATTATTAGAAAGATTACATGATTAAATGGGTTTAAGACACCTTGAGATTGAATTCTTTAATTTTGATCCACTCCCCTTGATAAAGAAAATAAGGAAGATCTGCGGAGATTATGGTGGGGTGAATTTTGGTATGCCTGTTTCTCCACCGTTGATCACGTAATTGTAAAATTTGGCTGACAAGTATGAGATGGCCAATCAGGTAAATCAAAGTGTCAAACTCGGCGGTTCGAGGCTCAGGCCCCTACTCTGTTATGAGTCCTCTTTTGTACCCTACTCCACGGCTCTGCAACATCTCTCGGTAGTAAAAAGAGAGACAAAACCCAGTTCTTAACTGCATGTGCCATTACCATTTCACGTAGTGTAAATCACATTTTGAGAAAGAGATTGGAGGAGAAGAAAGATACGAATAATCATGAAATCAGCTCGTAAAAGAAAACAATTGAAACAGAGCAATCTTTCGTAAAATCACCATTCACTCATCGGAAATTGAACCTATCTGACAACCACTGACGCCTCTTTCTTTAAACCACGTAATAAAGTAAAAAAAGAAACGTAGCCATTTGATTACCCTCCCCCATCCTCGGCTCCTCCTATATTAATATATATGTGTGTGTGTTATCTCAGTTGAAGCACAAACACCATCGGTTCTAAGCTTATATCCTTTTGAGAGGGAGTGCTCTTTATGAGAGTATCTCTGAGCTTATAAGTTATAACCATGTGTAACCAAGGCACCTGCACCGGTACTCAACCCACCGAGAAACCATCTCAAACCCATCTTTATTTCGATCTTTTACCATTACCCGACGCCATGAAAGATCAGGAAAAGCATCATGATGATGATCAACAATACCCCTTGGTGTCGGAGATCGTAAAGGAAGCGAAATCGCTTTTCAGTCTAGCTTTTCCCATAGCCTTGACCGGTCTCATTCTCTATTCTCGTTCCGTTGTTTCCATGGTCTTCCTCGGTCGTCTTGGCGATGTCGAGCTCGCCTCTGGTTCATTGGCTATAGCATTTGCTAACATCACGGGGTATTCGGTGCTTTCTGGGCTTGCTTTAGGTATGGAGCCGCTTTGTTCTCAAGCTTTTGGTGCTCGAAGACCTAAACTTCTGTCTTTAACCCTGCATCGTTACGTGGTTTTCCTCTTCTTCACGTCGGTTTTAATATCGGTTTTTTGGATGAACATGTTTAATATCTTCGTTTACCTTCGTCAAGATCGTGATATAACCCGCATCGGCCAGAGGTACTTGCTTTTCTCGCTGCCGGACCTTTTCACCAACTCGTTGGTTCACCCTATCCGCATTTACCTTCGAGCTCAAGGCCTCGCCCACCCGATCACTTTGGCAACGCTCATCGCCACCGTTCTCCATTTACCGATCAATTTCGTTCTCGTTTCCCATTTCAACTTCGGCGTCGCCGGCGTGGCGGCCTCGGCTTCCATCTCCAACTTCTTGGTCCTCGTTTCCCTGGTTGTTTATGTTTGGTACTCCGGCCTACATGAGCCGACATGGGAGAAGCCGAGCATGGAATGTTTCACCGGCTGGAAGCCGCTGCTGAAGCTTGCGGCGCCGAGCTGCGTATCGGTTTGTTTGGAGTGGTGGTGGTACGAGATCATGATCGTTCTGTGTGGGCTTTTGGTGAACCCGAAGGCGACGGTTGCTTCCATGGGGATATTGATCCAAACGACGTCGTTGATATACGTTTTCCCTTCTTCGCTGAGTTTCGCGGTCTCGACGCGAATTGGGAACGCGCTGGGGGCGAACCGTCCTTACACCGCTAGGCTATCCGCTGTGGTGGCGGTGTTTCTGTCCGCCACGATGGGCCTATCGGCTTCGACGTTTGCTTCAGCGATGAGGGATAAGTGGGCCACGATGTTCACATCGGACTCGGAGATCCTACGGTTGACATCGATCGCGCTTCCAATCCTAGGGCTATGCGAGCTCGGGAACTGTCCCCAAACGGTGGGATGTGGGGTCCTCAGAGGGAGTGCACGTCCGTCCACCGCGGCTAACGTGAACCTCGGCGCGTTCTATCTTGTGGGCATGCCAGTTGCGGTTGGGCTCGGATTTTATCTCGGATTCGGGTTTTCGGGGCTTTGGTTGGGCCTGCTTTCGGCCCAGGTTTGTTGTGCTGGGCTTATGTTGTATGTAGTGGGGTCCACTGACTGGGACCTACAAGCGAATAGGGCCCAGATGCTGACGTGTGTAGATACCAAGTTACTTGATAGTAGCGATGATAGTAGGGGCGAGACTTCGGCATCTTAATTAAGTTACCCGATTTCCTTGAGAGGGGTGATATGAAAAATCCTTTAATTTCTTTTTAGTGTTTTCACTTTGTTATCTAACTCCAACTTAATTTATAATTTTTTACTTTAAGTTTAATACGACTCTGATCGATTGTTTAAAGTTACATTAATTCAAAATAAAATTCGATTCAATGAATAATAAATGTAATGGAAAAGTATATTACATCAACAAGTAATAACACTATAAAATTTATTTCTTGAATGTAAATCTCAAAAGTTATAAAGATTACCGAAACATTTTCGAGATAATTATTTCTCGTAATTCTAAATATTAAGACATACACTTTGTTCGTATAATTTTTTATTTCATCCAAAAATTTAACCACTAGAAGATAGCTATTAGCTAGCTGGTTGCCCCCAAAATGGAAAGCAAAAAGGGCTCTGTTTTGGGTTGAAAACCATAGATGCTGACATCATTTCCCTGTTGGTTTTCATGTCAAACAGTTAAAATTTGGAGAATGGACCACCCCCTCCCCTGACCTAAAAGATCTTGCAAACTGTATTGTTATCCAGGTGGGGGCTAATTACCTACCTTTTCTTCTTATACGCCTAACTAAATACATCATTTTCGTGCAAGACGGTGATGGAACTTTACAAATTATTGTATTTTCGGATTTAGAGTTTAAGATTTAGAGTTACGTAACATTTGGTTTATAAATTCAACCTTTTTACTTTCTCTCTCTGTATATTTTTATAGAGTTAACCTTGGATCGATATTATTAATTTTGATAATTTTATATTTGATAAGAAAGATGAAATTATGGGATAAAGTCGAAAGACACGACTCTTGTTATTTTCAACATGATTTCGTCTCTAATAACGAATCAGATTTTGAAATTTTGTTCAAAGTAGACGGCTTGGGTTTTAAGATTAATAAGGAGAGCTTAGAGAATGACGGTGTGATGAGAAAGTGAAATACTAGTGGACCGTCAAGACAAGCAGTTCCACATGTGAAAGATACAATCTTTGACTTTCTCATATTTCAACTGCTTATATATGTTTGGGTTATTCACCGACATTACATTAAGTTATTCTTTTAGGTTTATAACCGTTGATATTTTATCGATTAATTAATTCAGATCGGGTGGAACCTGTCGGCTCAATTTTCTCTATTCACAACGGCATGATTTGAATTTATGGGTTGGTATAGTTGTTTCTTATCGTTGTACTTAATATTAGTATTACTAATTTGGAACTGATTATATGATAAACATGTTGAATTGTGAATACTTGGCGTAAGCTGCCATAGAAACCAAATTCAAAATGGCAAATGTAGCTTCGCCTTTCACGTCACAAACAAATTGATATTTACTATACAGATTAAGACATTTACTAGTTACTATTGATGCAAGGAAGAGTTGCCCTTTTTTTATGGTAAATAAAGGCTATTAACAGCTAAGAAAACTCAGTCGTGCACGTGGACACTACATTCTAACCGTATTAATGATAGAACCTCGACCCGCTGGAAGGTCCGTGTGAACGGTGTGATCCTACGAGTCCATCCTGACGAACTTGGTCATTCGATCTGCAAAGAGATTTGGTGCATCTTTGATTTTCACGGTCCAATCTCTTCCTAGTAGTTCATAGATTCTATTCACCAGTGTGAATGATGAGTTTCTTGTTTGTAGGAGTCGGACCACTTCTAAGTTGTCGACTTCCAGCCAGGGATGTATCTGGGCTTGAAGATGAGGGGCACCTGCTCGGGATCAAGAATATTTATTATTACATTTGAGAAAAAAAAATAGTTTTATATTAGTTATAAGGTCTAATTATTTTTAATTCTTATTATTAAGGGTTTAATTTTTTTCCAATATTTATTATTATGAGTTCAAAAAAAATTTTAATATTTATTATTAGGGACGAACTCTTATAATTTTTTTTTTAATATTTGTGTAAGTGTCTAATTTTTTGTCAATATTTTTTCTAACATTTGTTATTAAAGGCACAATTATTTTCAATAATTATTATTCGGGGGCCAAATTTTTCAATATTTGTTATTGTGAGTGTACTCTTATATTTTTTTTAATATTTGTTATTAGGGATATACTTTTTTTTAATAAAACTTGTTATTATGGAGTTGCTCTTAAAATTTATTTTTTCAAACATTTGTTATTAGGAACAATTATTTAAATAACGGTCTGTTCATATTAGCATATGTTATTAAAAATTGTAACATCATCCGAAACCGCGATACCCACAATTGTTATGTCCACGCTAACATATGTTATGTCAGCAATAACGATAAACGCAACGCGATCACCGAAGACACAAATATAAATTGTAACTTTAATTTTTGATTAAGAGCCTAATTATTTTGGTTCGCTTAACCTCGGTGCATGTTGAAGGCCTTCCTAGATTCCCCATTATTCGGCTTGTGCTGTTGTGCATGTGCCAGTGCTTTAGAAAATTCTATTATCCAGCACCCTGAGATCTGTGTTTAATTTGACCCATCCTTGTGGAGGTTGTGTCCATAATTCCAATCGATGGTTCCCATGCCCTTTACTTCCTGTCTGTTTACGTCCTCCGTTGCTCCGCATGCCTCACAATTTGTTTAGGGAGAGTTGTCCCTTTTAGTTCCTTTGGTTTGGTTTTTATGGTTCAATCGGTTATTTTTAAATTTAATTAATTAATATATACATTAATTAAATTTATTGAATTAATTTAATATTACATTTTCAATTGATCAAGTCTAATCAAATTTTAAATTTTTTATATATCGAACTTGAAATGAATTAAGCTAAATAATTTGGGTTGAGCTAAATTGGGTTCAAATAATTGGTTTGGGTTATTTTTTAAAACTTTTAAATGTCGTTTGTTTTGATCACTCCGTTGTTAAGCGTCTAAGGTTGACTCTAAAACATTGTATTTCAGACACCTTTTTTTAAAAAAAAAATCTTCAATTTTAATCTTTTCCATGACGAAAATTCTTTTCCGTTGTCATTTGACCACTCTTAGCCATTGCTTGAACATAATTAGTATGAAAATATTTTCTTTTCTCGTCTCTTTGTTCTTCTTAGTTTGATTTTTCTAGAAATTAACAAAAAATCAAATCAAATCTTTGACTTACGCTGGTTTGATTTGCAACATCCATCGTCCAATTAATTAGCGTGAAATTGAGATATATTATTTTTCTCCTCTTCGACCTCTCCATTGTTCGGAATTAGAATAAAATATTATGACTCCAGTGAATTAAAATGAGTCCAAAATTATGAGTTTGATAAGAGAGTTTAAGTGGAATTAAAAATTGAGTGACAAGAACGATTAAAATTTTAAAATATAGTGATTAAAATTAAAAGGTTTTAAAACTGAATAAACCAAACAACAAAACGAACAAAGTGAGCTATTAAAAAATTAGTTTACCCTTTTTATAGTGAAGATTGTAGTCCTTCAAATGGCTTGAATTATACATATGAAGAGTTAAATTAGTCAAATTATTTGAAATTGTAAGTAAACTGATAGAATGTGTAGTAACGAAAATTAAATATGTTATTATAAAAATTTAAAATTTGTCACATTAGCAATTTCGTTAACTATTGGTGACTTGATTGATCATTTTTTTTCTATTCGAGTTTTATTTCAAAAGAACGAGTCGGGTACTAATTGAGTGAAGTTATCCTAAATCTGAAATGAATTTAAGATAGAAGATATATATCGTTGGGGTCGATTCAGATTGAAAGAAAACTCAACCCAATCTAACCTATGCCCATCCCCAGACAGTGGTTAATCCAATTCTGAAAAAAAAGGTACTTTTAATATTATAAAATCAGATAAAAAAATCACCATTTTCGGAACGAAGAGACGAAGGGATCGACAACTGGCCTTTGAACTAGTTGATCGAACTACGGGTGAAGTGGCGAAAGGCTTAAAATTAAATCTTGAGCCGATCTATCTGCAAACTATAGGGATCGGGAGCATAATTAAACCTTTTATGATATAATTTTTACAGCTCCCACAGAAAAAATTAGAACTTTTCTTTGCCAGACAAGGGAAAGGATGGTTTTCCAGGCAAGAAGGTGAAAGAATATTGGGTTGAAACAGACATTCAGTAATGGTCCGACTCTTGTAGATGAAGTAGCTGTCTAGGTTTTGCTTTAAACTACTTCGAGTACTTCTAATTGACTCCCCATCTAATCCCCTCTACTTTTGTAATGAAATTTTCTCAATTTTGGAACACTTTATGGTGTGATAAAATGTGCCATTTACAACAATTATGGATCTTGAAGATCAAATCATTGTAAAGTGCATAAATAGATTCAGTTAATCCAATCACATGTAATTAGGTTAGATCTTTATTTTACTTAATACAAATGAAGTAAATATATATTTGTTTAAGTTAGATTGGTGTGAGGTTTTACCTTAAAAATATGATCGGTTTTGATTCGGATGAAACATTCTTAAACTTAGGTTGGGTGACGGTGAAGAGCGAAGAGGTGTTATATTCGGGTTGGGGTTGGGTGAGCCAAAAACTAGGAGTAACCTGACCCGTGATCATTAGTACTTATTATACATATAAATGATTGGGATCTCGTTAAAAAACCTCCCTAAACTTTTGAATATTTCAAATTCATTTTTAAAGTATGACACTCATCTTATATTATTCCTTAAATTTGTTAATATTTCAATTTCATCCCAAAAATATGCCTTCATTATGTATGTACGTAGGTGTGTATATAAATGATTGCATAAAAGAGGGTTAAATTGAATCATATTTGGCTTGAGTAATGTCATTTAACCAAAAAACTATCAAATCAGAATTAAGACAATTTCAGTTTCCCCACTGTCATCTAAGACAGCCCAAAATAAAGTGTTATTCCTCCATTTATCTTCCGTAAGAAAACAAACAGTACAGAAAACGATGCAAGGCAAGTGCCCCTCCCCCAGTTTTGTCAAGAATACGACCAAAACAACCCTGTCCCTGTTCCTGTCATCATTTTGGATTTTGTCTTTGAATGAATGAATTCCGCCATTGCCTTCAAACCAGGACCAGCCCAGAAACTATATCTCCCATCTCCCCCTCCCAGGTTACCATTTTACCCTTCCCTTGTGCTCCCTAATTTAGTTACAATCCTATCAATTGGACAGGTTGGCTTGGTTTTAGGATCAAACCAATTGACGTCGTAAAGTATCTAAACTAAGTAATGTTCATGTTATCTCAAGTTTAAACTTTTGATTTTTTGATCACTCATGTGTTGAATCATAAACGAAATAATGACAAAACAATAACGTATATTAGTGAATTGTATTGACGTGGAATTCATGTGTCGTTCACATTATTCTTTTTCATTTTTTATTTAACCTTTTTCTCCAAAGATGAAAGCTTTACAAATTCATCCCTATCTTACGGAGTCATTGCAATTACCATTTTTCAACGTCTTCTCTGACAACGCAAGATGAACTTATCCCATTGTCTCTTATTACTCTATCGATTTAAATTTTACCTAAATCATTTTAAAATTCAATCACAAACCTAAAACTCATGAAAACTTAAACATTTTGATATATAATATCATTATACGATCATCGTGAAATCAATGTATACAACTCATTTTCTTTTTCTCCACCTCCCACTATTGAAATTTGGAAGAAGATGCTTCAACATCGAGAAATCAAAGAGAATTCGGAACTAAAGTCGTTTCTATAAGCAAAAGGAAGAAGTTTTAGAAAAATGACTCATATTAATCTGAGATAATAATAATAATAATAATAATAAAATAATAATAATAATCAAGAGAATACAAGGGATATAACCAATTTACTCTTTCCTTGAGATTGTTATCCACTGTGACAATTCGAGGCGAAATCAATTTGAGAAAATAACACAAAGAAGTTAAACTTCTTAAAATAAATCAAAATAATATAGAAAGAAAAATACTCTTTTTAATATTTTGTTCAATTGATCAAAATCAGTTGAGGCTTATCGTTATACAATTTCCTTAAGACAGATTTTCGGGCACTCCGAGATGCTCAAGATCTTTTGGTCGTTTGTCTCCCAAGTTACAACAACTAAATGATCAGCTACAATAGCACAACAATAGATATCAAGAATGATACTTGCCTTCGACTATCATTGAAAAACTAAAGAGGAGAAATAATATTTTCTGAGAAGGAGACAAAACATTTTCAAGAGTAGAAAACTTCTTGAATTCTGAGCTGTGAAAAAACTGAGAGATTTGCTCAATATTTATAGGGGAATTTCGAGAGAGTTTTTCTCCAACTAAATCACTTTTAGTATATAAATTTAAACAGATAATAATATCTTCTAAATTTAAAATATTAAACATGAGAGATTTACTTCAACCATATATCTTTTAATATATAAATTTAAATAGATAACAATATCTTTTAAATTTAAAATAATAAATAGATATACACTCCTTTTATTATTCAAATTAAACAAATATTATTTTAATTTGAAATACGCAAAAGTATATAATTATATTTTAATATTCAAAGTTAAAAAGGTAACACATACAATTTTAAATTGACATATTAAAAGAATAATTGTCCTACTAATATTTAAATTAAACTATATCTTTTAATTTACAATATCTAAAAGGACTCTGAATTTAACATAAATATTAAATCCATCAATGTAATTTACCCTTTTTTTCCAACAAAAACTTTTGGGGCCATCTTATATTTTTTTTTAAATATTTACTCATAACATTGATAAGCATATAACGATGAAGTGAGCAAAATAAAAACAAATTTATTCAGTGAGTTAATTTTTAAAAAAAATTAAACTTTAGGCAAAATGGGTTAATATTATTAGGTTTTCCATAATATAGGAACTATGAAAAGAATTTGACCAAAGAAATTTCTCACAATTTGAAGTTGGATTCTTTCATGATTGTGAAACGACTGAGAGTACTGGCTTGTGAACAAAAAGTACATGAACAGTATCATAAACTTTGTGATGATAGCCTTGAAGCATGGGGTCACCGTAAAAATACCATTGAAAGCCAAGTTGAACTCAGAGCACAACAACAGTGAAATAAAACAGTAAAAAGGAATTACTTTCTGCAAATTTCACAGCTTTAGATGCTGGCAATGGCAGCAATGGGAAGAGAGAGTGATTTCCCAAAATCCGAAACCAATTTTGGGCCAACGTAATTGAGAGCAATAAAATATTCACCACAAAGCTAGCTTGTTTCATTGGCTGTGATTGTTTTTTTTACTGTTTTGATGTTCTGCAGTGACCTATCATTTTTTTTACTTTGATAGAACAATGATAGTTTTACCCTCGAGTGTTAGCTATGTTTGATATCTCGAGTTCGAGTATTAAAAATATAAAGAATGCGAACGTTTAATGTTAACTAGTTAAATGTTATCTTTGAACAAATATGACATTTAATTTGTGTAATGAAATTCTTTGGACATTGTATAATCATATAATTTATTTACTAGGGTTCAAAGAAAGGAGAGTTAAAAAAGTTTAAAACAGGTGCAGAGAATCAGATGAAAAAGGAAAGAGAGGTTAAAAATAAGCATAACAGGCATGTAAAAAATCAAAGGCTTCACGAGATTGTCAGAAGCTGAGGTCCCTAAGGCACCTTTCCTCAATAGTCAATTGATTCAAGCTTTTATTAAGTTATTTTATTATTAATAACAACCAATTAGGGATAAAGGTATATTGAATCTTGAGAGATAAATTATAGGGTAAAGTATACAAATCATGCTTGATTATAGGGTATTATTTTATTGAGTTTATGGACTATGAAAAGTTACAAAAAGATCCCTCGATTATAGGGCGTTGTTTCGTTGAGTCTTCCAACTATTAAAAGTTTTAAAAATTTTACTCGACTATTCATATGTTCCAAAACCTTTCATTTTCTATTAAAAATTAACGATTGTCTAAGTTGTACGTTAATAGAATGATTGGAATATGATAAAATCATATTTTAGTAATGTTTATTTGCACCATCGTTGCTTTTAAGCACTGACTGGACGAAATAATGTTTCAAGCATTGACTTGACGATATAATATAAATGGAAAGACGATCCACAAAATACAACTCAAACGGTTCTGGGATAAGAGTTTATCACATCCCAATCAACATATTAGTGTCTAGCTCAGACGACCGCTAATTTTTTTAATGAAAATGACAAGTTTTGAACATATGAATAGTCAGGTGATTATTTTGTAACTTTTAATAATCGGAAGATTTAATATTTTAACTTTTAATAGTCGAGAGAATCAATAAAGTAGCACCCTATAGTCAAAGACAATAAAAAACGGAAGAAAAAATATCGTAAAAATTCATGTAATATAACACAAATCACATTTTTAATCTCTACATTTAAAAATAAACAACAATTTTCTTACACTAAAATATAAAGAGCACAACACATAAAAAAGACATGTTTTGGATCAACGTCTACTATTTAGCAATATAATGTGTTTACCATTACACTTGATCATCCTATATTACTAACTGTTTTTCGTCTCTTACGTTATCGATAGTTAATGTCTCAATGATCAAATTATAACTAATTGATATCGTAAGTGACTAAAATATAACTCTTGAATGTTAGGTGACCTAAAACAAAAGAAAATCAAACGAAAGTGACATTCGTTTGTAGTTTATCCTTGCTAATAATATATATTTTTGAGGACGTCTGAATGTTTGAGCGGCATGTTTTTGTCATGTAATGCAGTTTCTCACGATGCCATGGCAGTGTTTTTATAATTTATTCCCTTATTTGAATTTCAAATACCAGCAAGTATGAACACCCCGACTCTATCGTCTTCCTCAATTCAATAAATATTCCATCCTTCAATCACCATGGAAACTTCCCAGAGCTTTCTTCCCATTCTCATGCACTGATAAAAGCAAACAATGGGAAAAGCTACGAGGTGGCTGAAGAGCTTGTTCGGGATAAAAAGCACCAAAGATTACTCGAATTCCGGTGACCGGAAAGACAAGAAACGGTGTAACGTCAGACATTCAGGGCGGGACTCGAGCGGCGGATTGTGTCACGACCCTACAACGATCCCACCTAATATGTCGCCGGCTGAGGTCGTCTGGCTGAGGTCATTGTACAAAGAAACGGAGAAAGAGCAGAATAAGCACGCAATTGCGGTGGCGGCCGCCACGGCAGCTGCAGCAGATGCGGCGGTCGCTGCTGCTCGGGCGGCAGTGGCGGTGGTCGGGCTGACGAGCCATGGAAGAGGGACCATGTTCGGCGGTGGACATGAAAAATGGGCCGCTGTTAAGATTCAAACCGTCTTCAGAGGCTATCTGGTATGCTTAGAGTCTTTCATTATCAATTTATCATGGCGTATAATTAACCATCGAGATTAGTGATGGTTACGTTGTCCGGTAACGGTTTTATTTGTATCGAATCAGGCTCGAAAAGCGCTACGAGCCCTGAAAGGATTAGTGAAGATCCAAGCCCTTGTTAGAGGATATTTAGTGAGAAAACAAGCTTCAGCTACACTGCAAGGCATGCATGCACTGATAAGAGCTCAAGCTACAGTCCGGTCCCAAAGAGCTCGGAAATCAATGGTACTAAATGCATCAATAATCATTTATCCGACTCGAAAAATTCACGATATAATTTCGATATTATAATGAATTTGTCTTTCTACTTGATTTTTTTCATAAATCTTGGATGTTTTCATTTTTCGATCTTGCAGGAGAGATTTGATGATACAAGAAGTGAGCATACTGTTTCTTTCCATAGTAGAAGGTTGTCATCTTCTCTTGACACCTCATTTAACATTGAAGGAAGTCCCAAAATTGTGGAGGTAGATACAGGCAGGTCGAAATCGAGATCCCGAAGAACCAACATTTCGGTACCAGATTTCGTCGGCGACGTCCCGTTCTCTTCTCCACTTCCTGCTCGAGTTCCGACTCGTTTATCGATGCCGTTTCAAGAGACCGATTGGGGACTAATCGGAGACGAATGCAGGTTCTCGACGGCACAAAGCACGCCCCGGTTAGCCCCGGTTACGCCAGCCAAGAGCGTGTGTGCCGATAACTTTTTCGGACACTATGTGAACTTCTTCCCTAATTACATGGAGAATACGCAGTCGTCCAAGGCTAAATTGAGGTCGCATAGTGCCCCGAAGCAACGGCCGGAACCGGGGACTAAGAAACGGCTTTCGATCAACGAAATGCTGGAATCTAGATGTAGTTTGAGTGGTGCTAGGATGCAGAGATCATGCTCACATGCACAAGAAGCTATCAGTTTCAAGAACGCAGTGATGGGGAAGCTTGACAGATCCTCGTGATTTGGCAAAACATCTTGGCAGATCTTCAGCTGTAAGCCTCCTGATTCAAATCTTGTTGTTATCTCAAAGAATTTGCCTTGTTCTCAATGAAATGAAATCATTTTAAAATTTAAATATAAATTAGATTATATATTTTTATTAGATTTGTTCGAAGATCGAAGAAGAAGATCAAAATTTTTACGAACACTCTTTTAATCTGTCGATATACATAAAAATAAAAATGTGATGACCATTATTACATCTATAATTTGATCCATTCAGAGCCATCAATGAAACTAAGTGAAATAAAAGGTTTGGCTTCCTCATCCGTAAGCTCCCTCGACCACGGAACCCTGCCGGAAAAGCTCGCCCCCGGCCCCATGCATTTGTACTGCCCGTAGAACACCGTCCTGTCGGAAGAAAACAAAAACCGACAACATTGTTACGAATTCGAACCGAAAATGATCCGAATCTGGAGATAAAAGGGGAAGATTATTACATTTCTCGGTTAGGGTCACCCCAGTTATACCATCCCTTAGGAAGTATGATGTTGTCCATGTAAGTGTAGGCAAAGACTACCCTAGAGAAAGGACCCCATGCCCTCCCTAGGTACAGCCCCCCTGACCCCGTCACCTTACACTTCACAAAAGAGAACCCTGTATCATCTAGGATACTCCCTCTGTTCTGTGCTGTTAGTGCCCCTGTTAACCTTGCTATTGCATGCACGTGACACCCCTGAAAAAATATTGACACCGATTATGTTAAGCATTCACAGACCTGACCCAACCCAATCCGAGAATAATAATATATTTGATTTTTATACATTTAAAGATAATTGTTATAATACTCCTCTATCTATATATATTTTTAATTAAGTCCCTATCTTATCCAATAAAAATGAAAAATACACATTTTTTATCCTAAAAATTAGGTCAGATTCTAAGTCGGTAGAATTTGCCTAAACTTGAATCGAATCGGATGACAGGTGAAAAGATATTATACTCGAATCAAATCGGAGCTACAGTTAAAAGGGTGGGGGCAGGCAGTTCAAAAAGTATGTAAGGCGTGACAAAAGCAGATATGGTGAATTATTCCCTTACCTCAAGTGTGGAAAATTTTCCTAGTAGATTAAAATGATAAGGTGATATGCCTGATGCAATTCTGGAAAATCATGATTTTAACATCAATTATAGTGAAAATTATGAGGTTAGACGATGAACAATAGGTTCGAAAATGATAAATCTATAATCATTGTCGATTAAATTTTAATTCGATTGATATTTTAAAATTCGGGAGTTTAAAATGTAGTTAATCGTAAACGAACCTCAAAGAGGGAGAGAGCATTGCCAAAGATGAAATCCACGGAGCCTTCAATGTAACAATCTTTATAGTAATGTCTACCAAAGTGATCATAGAGAGTGTCCTGAGCTCCGAGGAATCGACAGCCGAAGAAAGTCGCCGTGTCCGCCGATATTCTAAATGCCACGGCTTGCTTTCCGACCGCTCCCGGTGGTGGTACTGGTGCAGTGTTCTGATCAGAGCAACCGAGATTTTGTTTTGCATTAAGAAAAATGAAAGAAAGGGTAAAAATTAATAAAATTAACCAATATTTTTTTTTACCTTGAATGTGATGTTTTTGGCAATAAAATATGGGGAATTGACAGCAAAAGTTGCAGAACCATAGGTCCCCAAAGGTTGTCCATTTGGACCTGGTGTTTGAGCTGTGTCTCCCCATTGAACTATTGTTTTGTCTGCTCCTGCTCCTTGAATTGTAATGAAGGATTTCAATGGTGGAATGTTAACTTTCTCTCTGAACAAGTACCAAAAACGTCACGATCATGGGAAAGATAACGACGAGTAAATTGAAAAAATGGCAGCGAAACATAAGTACTCACGAGTAAACCCCTGCATGGACCTTGATAACCACTCTCACAAGGTTAATGAAAGGCAGGGAATCAATGGCATCCTGAATCTTGGTGAAGTCTCCGCCCGCCGGATTCTTGTCAACGGTGATTTTATAAGACGGGAAAAGCTTGTTCTTCGCCGCCCTGAACACCGAGTGTTTAAGGCTGCCGACGAATTTGACCCATTGCATGAACTGCCGGTCCGAGACACGGACACCGGTCGTGTTGGATTGCTTGTGATGCCTCCCTCTGTGACCCCTAAGCCTGATCCCTTTGGTATGGCACAGTGCCGGGCCTGAATTCAAGACAAGAATCAAGATGAAAAGGTGAAGAAGCCGTGAAAACTTCGACATTTTTAAGAATGAAGAGGAACCGAACATGTATGTAGCAACTGACCGGGTCGGAATTAAGGTTTATATATGAACAAGTAGGCCCCGGGCATGCACTTTGTTTTAGGTGGGGGGAAAAGTGATGGTGGTGCTGTTGAATTAGAGAATCAATGACAGATAAAGTGAGAGTTCACGGGTGCTTCAGCTGACAGGACAAAGCGAGAGAGAAAAAGGTAAACAATGTAGACCACAAAGACTCAGCCAGGTTGAACTTTCTGTAATAAAATAAACAACTTTTAGTTTCCTGCTCCACGTTTATTGTTTGTTTGCTTGCTTGTAATGCCCCGTGAATGGTCTCTCCTTGCTGTTTTTGTACAAGAGGTGAATATATTCTTGGATTTAAGAGAGAGAATTGGATTTGGGAATGTCTAAATCCCAATAGTTTAATAAAATTGGTTCTTACATTTTTTTTTCTGTGAATCCTTTTTTAGTCATTCTGATAATTTGAAAATTTTCAAAGTAGGGTTGGCCACGGGTCGAGTCGGGTCGACTTTTTACTTCACTTGAATTAGACTCAAGTATATCTGTCATTTAATTCAATTCAAGTTTATAAAAGCTCCATCTAATCCAAACACAACAGTCGACACACACATACACACAAATCTACATATCTGTATCATTTTAATTAAGTAAAATAGGGACATAATTGAAAAAATATATAAAGAGAAAGATATAATAGCAATTATTCCTAAATATATAAAGATCAATCAAACAATTATTTTCAGAATGGGTCAAAAATAATTTTTACCCTAAATCCAACCTGATTCGACCTTATCTTTAGAAAAAAAAAACTCAACTCCAGGTTGAGTCAAATGTACATCCCTACATGTGACACTCTAAGATAGTGTCATATCTTCCAAAAGACTACAAATGAGTTAAAGAAATTCGAACTATAGGATTAATATGAATCAAAAAAAAAATATAGACACCAAGTTGGGATTGAGAATGACTATATGTACTAAATTTCTACGGTTTAATAAAAAGGGATTAATCAATTTTTAGTCCCTAAACTTTTCAACATTTCTCATTTTAGTCTTTGAACTTTGTTTTGGTCTATATTAACCCTAGAACCTTTTATTCTCTACATTTATGCCATATGGCACCATGAGAGGATCATGTCGTCGAAATGATTAAAAATCGATTAAAATAAGTTGAGAGACTAATGTGGATCAAAACTATGTTCATGGATCAAATTTGAAAATATAACCAAGTTCAAGGACTAAAATTTACTACATACCTGATAAAAAAAAGAACCTCTCTCTCCCCCCTTGTTTTTCTGATTTTACCTACCTTCCTATCATTAGATTATTGGCCTAAATCGAGCAATTTGGGTGGTTTAGATCAGCTTGTGAGCCACTTGCTGTACTAAAACAAAATAAATTATTACAACACCAACGCAGGCTTACTTACAACTGCAATTTCAATTACAAACGTTGTTGGTTGTGTTTGGATTTTTGGAATTGTGGTGACGTTGATGGTGGGATTAGAGTACTAATAAAAAAATTGGGGTGGTTGTTTAGAGTTTTGGAATTCAAACAATTCTTCTATATATTATAATTTAACATCATAATATTATTTATATAATCATTGATATTTGATTTAATAGTTTGATTAATTCAAATAAAATATTACAACGGTTAAATTATAGGCTAATGATTCGAATGAAGGATAGGCATAAGACTCGATGGACTCTAACCTGACCTAATCCTATGTGATCGTTTAAAAAAAATAGGTCAGATTTTTGTTTGGAAGTGTAATGTCAGGTCAAATCAAATTTGAGTTTAGGATGAAAAATTTTGGACCCAACCGGAAAAAAATTATATAATCATCCATTTATAATTTGAATAATACTCATCTCTTATAATTTTTTTTTCCAATCAAGTCTCTATTGTACCTAATAAAAATAAAATTATATGCGTGTTGGGCCATATTAGATTGAGTGTAGGTGAGTATAGGATTTTATGTCAAAAAATGAGTCAGATTTTGGACCAGGTAAAGTGTCTCTAAATCCGGACTGAGTGAAGAGTGGGAGGGGTAGAATGCTCAAGTTAGGTTCAGATCAACCTAAACCAACTTATCTCATACATATCCCTAGAGATGGGCATAGGACCCGAACCCGGAACCTCTCACGCCGACCTAAACTAATCAGGCTGGATTTTAAAAAAATCAAGTTCGGATCGGGTCAGGTTTGAGTTTAGGGTGAAAAATAACTAACTCGATCGGACCCAAAAAAGTGTAATTTAGCCTTATATATTTAGAGATAATTACAATACTACCCCTCTATATATTATTTTCTTTCAACTAAATTCTTAATTTTATTGAATAAAAATAATATTTTTCATAAATGGTCGGGTCAACTTTGAATTTTATCTCAAAAAATTGGGCCAGGTTCAGATCGGGTGGAAAGTGTATGTTTTTCGGATCGGATGGAAGATTTATAATTTTACGGATTGGGGCAGGTGGACATAAAATCCGACCCATGCCCATCCTACACATCCTTAACCTCAATCCACTTTTTTCTATTCACAATGTCAGAATTTAATTCTTCGACTTTTTTTTATAAGATTTAACATCTTATTCCGCTAAATCAACGAGTAGTTGGAATGATTTACTATACTATTATTATATCTTATTTTTTTGCTTTTTCGGCAAGATTGGGATGTGGTTACTCTTTATCGATAATTTTGAAGGGGAGGAATGAAAATTAATATTTCATTATGTTGTGTACCACTTTGTAATATTTATATTTTTTCTTTCTTCTGCATCTTTTTGCTGCCATATAACTATTAGGAATTCAACAAGTGTTATTTTGTTCCATACTTAGTTGTACAATGAACCAATTAGGGGAAGGGAATAAAAAAATGAATAATTATTTGTCCACATTGTTTCTTTAAGCTCTCCCGTGACATTGATGCGTATGATTGAATGATTTCATTATCAGCTTTCTAATCATCCCTTTCTCCTACTTTTGCTACAATTATTTACTATATTATATGTGGAAAAGATTCAAATATTTATCATCATTTTAATTTTAATTACAAAAAATTCTCAATATTTATACAAATAATAATCTTAATTTTAAACTTGTTTTAAATACAGATTAGAGTTGAGTATAATATCAGCTTGATTCATTTTAAAAATATTTTTTGTTGAACAAGTTCAAATTCATCAAAACCTAGTTTTTTTGGGCAGCCCAAAAAAATAATTTGCAAAATAGGGCACATACACTTTTATTTTGGGATCTACGATATCTTTTACAATGTGTGAAACTCATCACGTCGAGGTGATGGGTTTCAATAAAAAAATATTTTTTTTATTTAAACTTGTTATCTCGATTTGATAAATTTTAATAAAAATATATTTTATTAGAACTCGTCACCTCTAGGTGATGAGTTTGAATAAAAATATATTTTACTGGAACTCGTCATCTCGACGTGATGATTTTCGTAAACACCGTAAAAATCATATAGATCCCAAAATAAAAACTCGGTGTCTTAATAGGCTAATTAAAAAACCCGGATACCCTAATGGGCCAAAAAAACCCTCAAAACTTAAGCAATGTCTACTCAAAACCCAAATCTTGACCCAAAATCTGTAAGAAGCGCAAGCTTGACCCAAACTAGTCCAATCCCAAACTTGAACCATTATTTCCAACTAGATCGTCTTAGTCCATTATTTGATCATGAACTGATAACCACCATTCTCCATCGGTTGACAAACTTCAGACTACCTTACAAGATGGATCTTTCTCGATCCCTCAGAGCTACCCCAAATAAAATTGCGAATTATTAGCTCCATGTCCTCACACACCTGCTTATGCAAGTGACAAGATTGCATCAGATAGGATGGGAGTGCAGCTAAAACAGACTTCGCTAAGACAATTCACCCCGCAACCGAGAGAGATTTTGCCCTCCAATCAGCTAATCTCTCACGCATTCGTTGAATCATGAACTGATAGGTGGCATTGGTGGCTCTTTTGTGAAGCAACGACACCCCTAAATATTTGCCAAGCAAATCAACTCTCATGAATTGAAACCCCTCACTAATATCCTCTTGAAGTTGATCAGAAACATTAGCCGAAAAACATATATTCGTCTTATTTAAACTGACTTTATGCCCCGAGAACTCGCTGAATCACATCCAATTGATCAAGTGAAGCCTTAGCAAAAAGAATTAAATCATCGGTGAAGAACAAATGAGACAGACCCGGGTCATGTCTCGCAAGTTTAATTGGCCTCCAACTTCCATCCTCAACAACTCCTTGGATTGTCTGTGAAAGGTGCTCCATACAAATCACAAATAAATAAGGGGAAAGAGGCCCCCCTTAACGGATACCTCAGAATGGACTGAAAGTACCCGAAGGGGTACCATTCCAAAACACCCGAGTAGAAATCGTGGAAACACAATTCATAATCAGCTTCCGAAGCGCTTGAGGGCAGCCAATATCTCCCAACGAGTCATCAATGAATCCCCATTCCAGTCGGTCGTAAGCTTTCTCTAATTCGATTTTAATGGCCATCCACCCCTTATTACCAGACTTACGCCTCATCGAATGAACTACCTCCTGAGTGATTATGATATTGTCCGTGATACAACGACCCATAACAAAGCTAGTATGAGTCTCTGGAATAGTTAACAACATTAATTATTTGTAACGACTAATGACATTATAAACTACGAATCCAATTACGTAAGATTTAAATATATAATTTACATATTAAATTTGGACATAATAAACAACTATTTAAATCAAATTTTTACTGAAATTTTTAAGGTAAATTATCCCTATGATTACTTAACCATTAATTTATTTTTATTTTGATCGTCTAAACCATGAATACTTTCAATTTCACCATAAACACTCATTCATTAATAATTTAGATTGAGTGCAACATATGTTTATTGTACAGATAATTTTTTTAATTTATTTTATTTATAACGTTTATATCCAACCTTATACAAGAAAAAAGGAAGAATGCTGGGAGGATTCGAGTAGTCTCTCGGATAATATGGAGAAACCC